TTTTTCTTGTTGGGAAGTGAGAAATAGCTTCCAATGTTTGAAAGGTTCAAGATTATGATATTGGAAGCTCCTTTTATGATTGTTCTATGGTGACTTTAAATTTTAACTTTTAGGATGTACCGTATCCCATTTTATGGATGACTTGAATTTTAATTTACTATTGTTCTTTATTAAAAAAAAAAATATGTGTGAAATACAGATGTAAAGGGAAAAAATAATAGTAGGATGGTCGTAGTTAGAAAACATCACAGATGCGCATTAACAGAAGTTCACTACTGTGCGGTCTTTGTTTGTTTCACTGTTTTGAAGGTGACACAGCGGTGGTGTTCAAGGAATTTGTTACTGGTTATGATGATGATTTGACGTGCAGATGTCCTTAAGCTTCTATGGTCGAGAGGCCCACTGTTTTCCTAGTAGCTGCAATTTTATGTTCAACCTTGCAAAGTGGCGGTGTAAGCTTCTTTTCCCCTCTGTTGCTTTCTTGTTTCTTTTTTTCTAGGGATGATGTACCTTAGGACTTTATTAGGCTCAGGTTTTTCCTTTTTTTTTTTCGGTGTGTTTTGATGTGCTGCTAGTTGGTTTTAGTTCTGTTGTTGTTTAGTGACATTTGTGAGTTTTGAATGAGATTGTTTTTAAAGAAAAAAGACCACTATATTTTTGAAGAAAACTAAACAAAGCTATATTTCTATAAATTTGATAAAAAAAAAATCCGCATTAAATTTAGAAGCAGAACATGCTCATCCCTCGACTAGTAACTTTAGAATATTAGAATGCAGAGTGTGTTTATTGTAGCTGCTCTCACGTTCTTACTAGTTAAAGGTTTTGTTTATCTATTTTGTTGTCTTCTGTGCTCTTTTTCCCCTCCCCTGAAGCATTAGTTTTTCATTCTCTATATTTTCTGCAGCTTTTTTCTCTTCTTTTTTGTTATTCGCTCTCTCTCCTTTTCGCTATTTAGAATCGCCATCAACTTGAATGATGAGGTTGACGTCTACGCTTTGGTGGCGAACTCTACTCTATTTCTTGATTCCATTTTTTTGGTGCGTGTTTTGTTCTTGAGAAAGTGTGGGAAAATCGAATGAAAGATTGGGTTGAAAGATTCTCCATACATTTTCCTACTTTGAAGCTTTTTTCTGAAGTGCAAATTTCTCCATTGGACCAAAATTACTGTGTACTTTTTCCCTATAAGTTCCTTCAACATGTTCTTTATTTGCTTATGGTGCCTTTTTTCTTCATAAATTTGGCGTTTGACTACATTTCGTGATTTCGCCATCAGACATCTTTTATATTGATTCTTGAGTTTATGATTCTTCAAGTTGCGTTCCCTTTTTCCGATTTTTAGTGTTGTATTAGATTTTTTTGGTATATTAGATTTTTAGATGCTTCAATTTCAGAGTTAGAACTGGTCTGCCATTGATTTTGGGCACACTATGTGGTGCCATTAAGACGACAACACTCGTTTTACGCCATAAGGCGCACATGTTTTATTTGCGTGTTTGTGTTCGATATATGTATTTTTGCTGTGCGTGTAATTTTTACTATGCATTGGGATGTGATTGAGGTGGTTTGAGAAGAATAGGAAGAAAACAAAGATGGATGTGTTTGGGAAAGGAGAGATATGATGGGAAAATTGGCTGGAGAAAACTTTCTGCTTTCCTTTGACTTTTTGTAATGTCGTTCTCAATTTGGCTCTACAAAGCTGTAATGATTCACTGCCTCTCTAGTTTTTTGGAGGTTGGGCTTCAAAACCATCTCATCGTTTGCTTAATTGGTCTTTCAATTTCACGTTCAAAATATACACCACCATGGGGCATGCCATTGCCTGCTTCCTATTTCCATATGATTATCGAGGGTCATGCCTGATTTGGATCATTGTCTCTCTCATTTTTTTTTTGTTTTTCCTTCGTTTCTTGTGAAATTGGTTTCTGTATAACAGAGTTAGGAGTGGTATTTAACTAGTGAAAGTATTATGAAGTGAATCCCTTTTCGGTATTCTGGTGTAATAAGAAACAAAAAGGCTCACTTTTCTTTTATTTCTCCCTTTTTCTTGTTCTTATCACTCAGTTTCAATCTAGGATGTATTTTTCTTTCATAACAGTTAAGGCATTTTAATTGCAAGAAAACATGGTTACAAAATTTCTTTTCTAAAAGCTACATCATTTATATATTGTGTGAAAGATTGCCTGCATTCGTTTCTACTGCAAAAACTGTAAAACCAAGTCTACAAACCTAAACTCCTCCATAAAAGCTGCTACTTTGTAATTGTCTCACAGGTTCACAAAGTTTGGTGCATTAGTTTCTCATAGACCAATTGAAGGCATGGCATTAGCTGATGCAAGGTTTATACAGAAAAGCGGTGCTTTCTTTAACTATTACAGGACAAGTCAATTGACATTCTTTATTCTATTTTACGATAAAATTCTCTTTAACTTTTGTCTTTTGTCACTTGCAATATATTTTTTATACGTTTTTCTCTTGAGATGTTTAATTCTTAGTTGTCATTGTGGGAAATAAAATGCAGATGTTGCTACAGGGAACTATCTTCAATTAATTATCCGAAGACTTTCTTTCTTGGTAGGAAGAGTCTTCAGCCATCTGGGAATATATGATGCATCAATTACAGAGAGTTTCAAAGGTCGTGAAAGACACTTGTTTTCAGTATGTTAAGTTGTTTGACTGTGATTACATTTTAAAGATTATATTGTTTGTCCTCGTTCTAGCTCTTTTGTTGTTTTTCGCATTACAAATTCCTAATGACAGTATTTATAATCAGTTTAAAAAAATGAATTCGAGAAAGTCAAAATTAATCTTTAAATAAACATTTTTAACAACTAAAAAAAAATGTCAAAACACTGCATTCAACTTTAGAGGTCAAAAAGCTGTATTCAACTTTAGCATTGAGGGTCACACGTGGGATGCACGTGGATTTCAACAGGTTTTTCATTAACTGTTTACTACCATTTCTTGTTTTCATTACGTATATTTGTTGATTATTGTCATTGGTTTTTGGTTTACCTGAATTTTGATTGTTCAATAAGATAAGATGATTTTTGTTGCAAATTTTTAACATTTTCTCTCTCTCCCCCTCTCTCCAACTGCTATTTTTAATATAGTTCCGAACTTTTATAAGCTGTTAATTGAAAGTTTTGTGGATATGATATGAGTTAGACAAGATTGTACCTTACTAAGCCCATCTTATTAGTTCTTCTGAGAGAGAGTGGATAATTTTGTTGCTCTTCGTATTTTAATTAAAAAATATGCCCGCAAATGTTTTGTTCTTGACGTGAAATTTCCTTTGTTTGTAGTAATATTTTTTAATCCAATGTATGCCATGTGTGCTTTAGGTGGGGTTGCGCATGATTAGTGAATGGCACTAGTTTTTTGTTCGAGGAGAAACTTGAGCAATTTTTGAATAGGTTAGGACCACAATTGCTTACTGCTGTAATATCTTGTAAAATCCTAACTTTTGAGCCTTTTGCACAGATGATTTGATTGTTTTTTTTAAAGGTATATGTCTTAGATATTACGTTATTTAGTTACTTGCTTGTTATGAACATTATATCTTAACGGTTGTTCTTGTTTTAAAATAGATGATTTTCTAGTAGTTCTTTCCGTAACCTCATATCATTAAAATCTATTATCCATATTCTATTACTCTTACATAGATTTGAGTTCCCTGTAGTTCCTATCTATAATTCTCAGTCACTGCATATTAGTTTTACAATGTTCTTTTATATTCATGTTGTGTAGTTGTTTACTATATGTGATAGTGATAAATTAAATTTTGTTGCCTTTGGAAGCAAGGTTTCCCTTTCTTTTATTAACTTTTTCATCCTAAAATGAAAGACAATTCTAATTTGCATGAGTCGTAGTTTTTGCCTTCAAGGCTAGTTTTTTTTCTCTATAATTGCTGTGTAGCTGATCTCATAATAATATCTTGAGAGGACGCATAGGTACTTCTTTTTATTTAATTTCTTAATGATCAAATTGGACGTGGAAATGGAGAAAGAAACATGAAAATTGCAAATGCCTTCCTTTTGTGGAGTTTCTTTGGCTACCGAGCAAGCAGGTTGAGAAAGTTTTGGCTTGCATAGTTAGAATCATGTGGCTGCCATTCTTTAAGCAAATTAGGCAACCTTACTTCCAAGGTATAATCAATCCCTTGTCTTCAATCCTCATAACTTATGTGAACAATCACTAAAAAAATAATAAATTATGTTATCAGGGAAGAAGTTCTTATTCAGCTTGTGTTAACAGTTATTGTTTCTGTTCTTCGGTTTATTACACACCGCTTGAATTGATTTGTTTTACTTAGTCAACTTCCCTATAATATGCTAGTAAGTTTTCGGTCGTGCCTCTATTGTAATTACTTGGATGATTGTCTAATTCTTTTTATTACCAGTTCTTGCATCCATTTTTTCTTCTTAAGGTATGCAGGTTGCTCAGTATGCTCCTCTAATTTCATATTATTTTTTTCAATCTCATCCGTCTTGGTGAAAAAGAGAAACTGTATTTGACTAAAAGATACTTGATGTTGAATTTTGGTGTAAATGTTTCTTTTTTTGAGATATAAGGTAGATCACGCTCCCAGTTTTTTTTGTTAATGAGCACACTGTCTATGAAAATGGAACCTTTTGTTAAATTTTCTCATAGCCTGACCGGGAATTGGTTTTCTTTCTTGCTTTTATTTTTTAGCATGACCGTAGCTTATGGTGCTTCTTTTTTAAATATATCAATTCTACTAATTATATTATTTATTTTCAACATCATAGCCATATCATGTTTAAAAATAAATTCATGTTTTTCCTTATAATTTGTTATAAATGAAAATAAAAATAACTAAAATCTATTTTTAAAAGTGAAATTCAAAAACTCAAATTATTCTTTCAATAAAAACTATTCAATAATCAAAAAACCCGAAACACTATATTTAACTCTCACAGCAAGACCCACAGGTGCGAAGCACGTGGCTGCAACTAGTCTCCATATATAAGTATATTAGAAATCACGGTTGGTTTATTGTAGCTCCCCTCACATTCTTACCGATGAAAGCTTTCGTCTTTGTTATTTGCCGTTTCTTTTTTTCCCTCACAACTGCTCTTTTTTCCCCTCCCCTGAAGCGTCAGTGTTCTGTTCTTTGCATTTTCATCAGCGTTTCTCTCTCTACTTTTGTGTTATTCTCTTCCTTGCCTTTTCTTTCTTCTTCTCTGTCCGCTTCTTGATTGTCCACTTGTCTCTCTATATTTTGATGGACAAGGAGCCTGTTATTTAGGGCTTTTGACGCTGTCTAGAAATTATTACATGAAGGTGAGATCTTTGCCATATATATATATATATATGTAGACATAACTCTCTCTCTCTTTCTAGTGTTTTTGATCAGATATGATATTTTTCTCTTGTATGCAGGTTGCTTCTCGTCCTTCAATTGGGTACGCTTCTTTTTTCTTCTTCTTTTCTTTTTCTTTTTTTTTTCACTTGGTTTTTTTTCACTTTTTCAACGTTAATGATGAGGTTTTTTTTTTTTTATTTATGTGTTGGTGTTGATTGTTTTTTTTTTTTTGGGCACTTTTTCATCCCGTTTTCAACGATCTTTCGAAATTTTCATTCATCCGTTAAAAGTTAATTGCAATGACTGGTTGAAAGTAATGATGGCACAATAATGTATAGTTGTTATGACTAAGGCCATCTGTACTTATAAAGACTCTTTTTTTGTTTTTTTTTGCTCGACTCCTTCGAATTTGATCGTGACTGGAAGATGATTGAAGCATTGGTTCTACAAAAACAGTTAGGTACTTTTTTTATCCTATATGTGTAGAGAAAAGTGCACCTCTATGATTAAATTTTGAAAGTTTCTTTTTAACTTCTCTCGATGAAGTCATGGTCCCTTATTGGACACTGACTATTATAGTATAACGTGTATTTAACTTGGAAATCTTGCGCTCCTATTAAAATCAAGGTCTTTGCCTAGTTATTTTATCAAAGAAAACTCAGCACTTGTGACTTAGTGCAGAGGGAAAGTCCCCATTGTTCTTTGTCTCCCAACTGGTGTGTGTCATGTGCAGAGAAAATTCAGAACGAGCAGATCATTTATTCATGCATTGCAAGATGGCTCGGAGTCTTTAGCAAAAAGTTTTTGGAGCAGTTAAACTGAAGTGGTGCTTTCTAGCCCAAAGTTGTGCTATTCTGGTGGAGGTTTTTGGGGTTTCAGAAGAGGGAAGAAGGCTCAAACCATAGGGAGAGCAATGCTTTTAGCTGCTCTTTGGGTAACGTGGAATGAGAGAAATCATTGAATTTTTGAGGAGAGTGAGATGGTTGTTGAAAACTTATTTGAAGACTTATTTGCTTCTCTACGGGCTGCAACTGATGCCATTGTCTCTATAATATTAGGTGGGAGGACATTCTGAGTTGAGATGCTGGTGGTGTTGTTATGTAATCTTGTTTTTTAATTTTTTTTGGTTTTCTTTTTGCCTTTTGGATGGATCTGTCGTCCATCTTTAATCTTTTCTGTACCCTTTGCTCTGTGTTTGTTTTTTAATAAAATTTTCACTTGTTTCTTATCAAAAAAACATGTATTTGCAATACTTGTATTTGTTGAATCCATAACCTAATAGCTACATGAAAATCTTGTGCCTGCTTCTGTTTAACATTATCTTGGTTTTTGAGGTTTTAGTTTTTGCTATGTTTTTACTACTTTTGTGTACTTCGACAGAGACAGATACGTAGCCATACATACAAGTGGTTTTTAAATGTTCAAGAGAGTGGGACCAATGAACAAGTACCTCCCCCTTGGGCATTTTTGTTTCATCCTTCGCTACAGAATGATTTTTTTTTTTTTTTTTTCCTTTTTTAGGTCATTTATTTCTAATTGACAATGTTCATTTTATTCAACTTTGTAGATCACTACAATACGAAACACGAGAAGTGAAAAGGTAAAAAGCCGGCGAGATTCACAGGAAGAGGAAAGCTGAGGAGTAACAGAGGAAAGTTGTGCCTTGATAGGAAGTAAGAGAGCAAAAGGGGACAAATAATTGATGCAAAATTTTGAACAGTAGATGTGAGGTTTCTCTTGGCTCTTTTCAACTGTTTCTTATTTTTGGTTTTCTCCCATGACTTCTCTTCCTCATTTCTTTTCGCATTCTGATGGGATAAGGACAGTGCCTTAAACAAACTGGAAGCATTGGCCTTCAAGTTGGTTGGAATTGACAATCCGTGAATTGTCAAAGTACTAAACAACAAGAAATGAAAAAAAAAAGGAAAAAAACAATTAAAAGAGTTCGTCAATTTCTTTTAAAGGTGTTCATCGAATAGAAACTTATGATGTGGAGGTGAGATCTTTGCCCAAAAAAGAATAAAAGAAAAACTCTATGTGTCTCTCTTTTTGTTATATACTATTATTTGCTTATGTTTTTCAATATTACTGATATTTTTAGCTCCAACATTAGCATTGGCGTTTGACTACTGTTACCACTGATTCTAGCTCTAATGTTGGTTTTACCTCTGAAATTGACTATCTTCGTAACTTTGTGAGTGGTATTAGATCAATTAAACTATTACAAGTGTTGGTGTTGCAGATAGGGGCATTTTAAAAGCAGAGATATGATCCCTTGGATTCACCCAATTTATGTTGTAATTCTTACTTGTTTTATATACAAGAAAGATAATATTTTAATTAATATTTGCTATTAAAATCTTCTTAGATACTCCTTACGGCTATGACTATTGTGATCGTACTAGAAATGTTGTTTTTAAGGAAATTGTGGCATTGGCAGACTAAAAAAAGGTAGTTAACTATTCCTTTCTTTTGCTCACTATAACTACTGCAAGATCATCAATATTATTAAACATTTTTTATGCTCCATATTGATTTATTGCAGATACAATCTTATTGGAGTCTTACAGTGTTATTCACAAAAGATATCAATATAAATAACCAACCTCCTTAGCTAAGGTATCTAAATTATTTAATTTCTACTTTTTTTTTTGTACTCATTAAGTCTTTAAATTAAATTTTATTATTTCTCCTTAAAATTTTATTCAGATTGGATTAAATTTACCTTAAATGGTTCTTTCTTTTATCAGCTAAATAGTGACTGAAACTATTAGGAGTATTTTCTAATTCTGGTGATATGCTATTGGATATTGTCATGGTTTATATTTTAAGGTAATTTCTTCTGCTTAAAACTACTGGGAGTTTTCATAATATATGTAGAAGCGCATGTTTTAGTGTCAAATACGAGCACTGTAATATGGCCATTGTTTATAGGTCCAAGAATCTGTTAGGTAATTGATTAGCTCTAGCTTCTGTTTCAATAAGATTTGGAAGCTGGATCTTTTTGGTGTATTCACTCAATTGGTATTTTCCTTAATTATTTCGTATTTATTTCTCTTTTGGGTATGGGGTGCTAGATGTTTTCGTTGGTTTTCTATGTGTGATAGGATTGGATCATTTGAACAAGAAATTATGAAAACCGCTATTGCTGAATTGCATTTTTTGTTCAATGTGAACTGTTTACATGAAAGTATGGAGAATTAATTGGTTTTTATGGAGCAGTGCTTATGTGGTTTTGCCATTTGTTGTGTCTCTCTGTTTTGCTTACTTTTATAAAATCTTCTGTTCATTCCTTTATTTAGGAGAATAAAATTTCATGCTTGGCACTATAGACCTATGATTTTCTGTTATTTATTTTTTTCCCTTTTCTTTTCTTCCTTTTCTTTTTTATTTTTTGTTGTTGCCTGCTCAGGGGTTTATTTAGTTACTTGCGTGCGATTTTTCTTGACCTTCTTGGTACAATACTATAGATTAAAATTTTTTCTTGGCATTATTTGTGTCAGAGTGGGAATTAAATAATTATAACAAATCGTGATACATAGCATTTTTTATTAAGTGTGCATTTTATGTGTTAGTTTGATGAAGTTGATTCGGTTTAGTAGTGGGGGTTCTACAAGTTGTTGAAATTTAAGGAAATGAAGACTTTTAGCATGTTAAAATTGTTTTTGGGAGTTTATCACTACAATGGCAACAATGTAGACTTGGGAACAGCATGTGGAAAATACTACAGAGTATGCTGCCTTAGCATTATTGATCCAGGTGACTCTGATATTATTAAAAGCATGCCTAGTGAACATTGAGTATCCCATGATCTGCATAAGGTCTTAGATTTTGGTCAGTCCTTGCCTCTCTTTCTTTTTTTTTTTTTTTTCTGTTGGGAAGTGAAGTAAGCTTCCAATGTTTGAAAGGTTCAAGATTTTGATATTGGAAGCTCCTTTTATGTTGCTTCTTGATTGTTCTATGGTGACTTTAACTTTTAACTTTTAGGATGTACCGTATCCCATTTTGTGGACGACTTGAATTTTAATTTTATTGTTGTTCTCTATTAAAAAAAAACACGTGCAAAATTCAGATGTAAAGGGAAAAAATAATAGTAGGATGGTCATAGTTAGAAAACATCACAGATGCGCATTAACAAAAGTTCACTACTGTGTGGTCTTTGTTTGTTTCACTGTTTTGAAGGTGACAAAGCAGCGGTGTTCAAGGAATTTGTTACTGGTTATGATGATGATTTGACATGCAGATGTGCTTAAGCTTTTGTGGTCGAGAGGCCCACTGTTTTCCTAGTAGCTGCGATTTTTTGTTCAACCTTGCAAAGTGGCAGTTTAACCTTCTTTTCCCCTATGTTGCTTTCTTGTTTCTTTTTTTCAAGGGATGATGTACCTTGCTCAGGTTTTTCCCTTTTTTTTTTGGTGTGTTTTGATGGGCTGGTAGTTGGTTTTAGTTCTGTTGTCATTTAGTGACATTTGTGCTTTTTGAATGAGATATTTTTTAAAGAAAAAAGACCACTATATTTCTGAAGAAAACTAAACAAAGTTATATTTCTATAAATTTGATAAAAAAAATCTGCATTAAATTTAGAAGCAGAACACGCTCATCCCTCAACTAGTAACTTTAGAATTGCCATCAACTTGATTGATGAGGTCGACGTCTATGTTTTGGTGGCGAACTCTACTCTATTTCTTGATTCCATTTTTTTGGTGCGTGTTTTGTTCTTGAGAAAGTGTGGGAAAATCGAATGAAAGATTGGGTTGAAAGATTCTCCATACATTTTCGTTTGCTCATCTTAGTTGGTTGAGTGAATTTTAAAGGTAATAATTATTGGCTCTGTTCATTTGATTTTTATTTTTTTTATTGCTTTTGTTTCTTAGTTGACTGATCTCTCTTTGATTGTGTTTTCTCAAAGTCATGATTCATGATCATTTTTCAGTGTTTGTTTGTTTGTTTTTTTTTTTTTTTTTTTTTTTTTCCGTTTGGACTAACAATTTCCTACTTTGAAGCTTTTTTCTGAAGCGTTAATTTCTTCATTGGACCAACACTACTGTTGTACTTTTTCCCTATAAGTACATGTTTATTATTTGCTTATGGTGCCTTTTTTCTTCATAAATTTGGCGTTTGACTACATTTCTTGATTTCGCCATCAGACATCTTTTATATTGATTCTTGAATTTATGATTCATCAAGTTGCGTTCCCTTTTTCTGATTTTTAGTGTTGTATGACTTTTTTTTTTCTTTTTTGGTATATTAGATTTTTAGATGCTTCAATTTCAGAGTTAGAACTGGTCTGCCATTGATTTTGGGCACACTCAAGACGACAATACTCGTTTTACCCTATAAGGTGCACATGTTCGTGTTTTTGTTTGTGTTCGATATATGTAATTTGGCTGGGCGTGTAATTTCTACTATGCATTGAGATGTGATTGAGGTGGTTTGAAAAGAATGGGAAGAAAATAGAGTTGGTTGTGTTTGGGAAAGGAGAGATATGATGGGAAAATTGGATGGAGAAAACTTTCTGCTTTCCTTTGACTTTTTATAATGTCGTTCTCAATTTGGCTCTACAAAGCTATAATGATGCACTGCCTCGCTAGTTTTTTGGAGGTTGGGCTTCAAAACCATCTCATTGTTTGCTTAATTGGTCTTTCAATTTCACGTTCAAAATATACACCACCATGGGGCATGCCATTGCCTGCTTCCTATTTCCATATGATTGTCGAGGGTCCTGCCTGATTTGAATCATACAAGTCCGTGATTAGTGTCCGGGTGTGCTGATATAGCTGAGCTTCTCTCCGACAACAAATTTGATGTACGACACACTTACTATCCTGACAGCAGGCCGAGCGCATTGCCTACAGGCTTGTCACCGAACATGGCTGCTCGGTGACTTCACATCACGATAAACAATCTACACAGCAAATCAATCCCAACCGTGGATGGATACTGCAGGCTCCCATTGATGTGCGGCACTTGTCACAACGTCAGACATAGCCGTACACGCGTAAAGTGATATGAAGTAAATTTTATATTTCTCACATCACATGTAATGATCTCAAAATTTCCGTATGGGTAATTTTTAATCTCGAAAATTACTTATATATTCACTATCTTTTAAAACAATGCTGTAGGCAT